TCGCAAGCGTCGCATTGTCATAACTTCTTTCAAGATAGATATATTTCCAAAGGAAAGCAGTGTTAGACTCAGCTCGTTCAAATGTTATGCATGCCACACTACAGAGTGTACGGTAAATACGGTAAGAAGTCAACATCGCGAATCGGTCTGATTTGCTTGGAAGTGTCATATAATCACGCCTACGCAAAGTTTCAGACGGATTCGTTATATTGACTTCCTGTATCTACCGTGCATCTTAGATGTTACTGTAATTGTAATGTGGCACACTAGGTTCAACACTAGGATTGATGTTAGGATTCGTCTGGACGAGCTGAGTTTAATAACATCTATTTTGAAAGAAGTTATGCGATGCGACGCTTCCGACGGATTTTGATGTAAAGTTTTTGCAAAAGTTATGAGCGGTAATGTGAGCGGTATTGTATACTCTTGTCTATTGATTGACATGATCACCTATCTTTAACTTTAAGAATGACCAAATAGTACTGAGCCGAAGTGGTACTTGCGTAGGTACGTTCACGCTATGTCTTCGCAAGGCCTCAACCCAAACCTCTGAAGAGAAGGGATGTGTTACTTTTCACTGTTTGATGTTATACTCTAGCTATCTATCGTCCCAACTATCGAGAAAGAAGGATAAATGAGACAGAAGGAGACGAATATCTGCATATTATATGAACACTGTCAAAAGGAAAGCTACGAGTTGTAATACCAGCGAAGCGAACTTTTATGGCAGTAGCTATGTCAGTCACCACTGTTTGTTGCTTTCAGCAAAGTGAAATAACTGATCGACAGGAAAATGTACAATTACGAAAGAAAAGGTGAGATTGAATCATTTTGGGTTGCTTGCCATAACTGCTGCAAAATTACCATGCAAAATTGATCTCGTATTCAACTTTTGTGAAAAGAAAGCTTGGTTGGTATATTATGGCATATACCTACTTGACAATGTTTTCTATTATTTGCTTCGTGAATGTAAGTGTATCTCAACCTTAGCAAAAAGATCATGTGCAAGAGAAGTGTCTACCACATAATTGGACTTTCAAGTGCTTCATAGCCTCTCAGATATCCGCTTGATGCATTTGCTACTGATGTTCACAAGCCGACAAGTATAACAATGAAGCAACCACAACATGGTTAGAGTGGTCGATACACCACCCCCCAATTTGAAGCGCCAATTGGTTCGACCGTGGTTGCTTAACCTCGGGTTGCGTAGTTTGTCCGTTTAGCAGGGAAAGTTATTGTATGGTGTCAGGAGTAATTTATCTGATTACATGTTTGTCATGTGGAGGCACCTATGTAAGAGAAGACGCGCTCTCTGTTGTCGCGTGAAAGAACATGTAGATAGGCTCACTAAATGCAAGGCCTCAACACCCCTGCCATCGTTTAGAATGCCACAGGCGCCGATATACAAGTTGGGGTTACAATCCTGTCCTACGAGCCCAAGA